TCAACATTTTACTATAGTTATTTAAAAATATAAATACTTCTCCAATATTTTTACCAAGCTTAGTTTATAAGACTTTAATTTCTTATTTAAATTTTTCATTTTCTTTTTTATATTTATCATTTTCAATTTTTAAATTTGATTTTTCTGTTTCATAATCTTTACATTATTTTCTAATTTCATTTAATTCATGTATTAATTATTAATTTTCACTAGTTCTTTTATAAATTTCTTTTTCTCTTCTAACCATCATTTTTTCTGTACTTGAATTAATTTAAATGGCACTCTTTTCTAAATGATTAATATGTCTATTCATTTCTTCAATAGAACGAGGATCATTAGAACTTTATTTAATTTCTTATTATAGTACATATCTTTAATATAATTTAGTCATTTCCTTTTTCCATTCCTAAAATAATTAAATTATATTACTTTATCATCAATATAATGTACACAATTATGAATATCTCTAGTAATATTTTATATAATATTTTCTTTCTTTTTAGTAGTTTAAATTTATAAATTTAAATCATGAGTAAGAGCATTAGTTTTACTAGTTTCTTCATTAATTTTAGAATTCAATTCACTATTAATTTTTAATTATTTTGCAAATTCACTTTCTAATCTAAATAATTCTTCTTTTAATTTTTCAATTTAAGCTTCCTTAGGTTCTAATGATTTTTTCATTTCTGTAGTTCTAAATGATAAAACATGTTTAGATTTTTGTAAAACATTAATTTTATCTTTATATTCTGATATCTTTTTATCTTTTTTCTTTAATTGATCATCCTTATCTTCTAAATCCTTACATTAAACATCTATTTTAGTTTCAGCTTCCTTAAGGTTTTTCTCTAATAACTAATAAGCTTATTCCTTCTCTTATAATCTTTTATCTAATTTTTCATTTTCTAATCTTAATTCCTATACTAATTTCTACTCTTATTTAAACTTTGAGTCTTTTTCAGCTAATAAACATTTAAGTCTATCAATTTCTTTTTTCTATCTATCATTTAAATCTTTAATTTCAAATTCATGATCTTCTTCTTATTATGCTAAGATTTCTTCATATGTTGCTTTTAATTAATCTGCTTGATTTTAATTATTTTCCAAAGCTTTAGCTGTAATTTAGAAATTCTTATAAAATTTCTCTTTTAATTCTTCAATATATGAAGTATGTTTAGATTCAAATTCTTTAGCTTAAGCTTAATTTCTTCTTCTTTCTTCCATTAAATCTTATTCCAATTAGAGATATTTTTCATTTTCAAATGCTAATTTTCTTTCATATAAATTTTCTAATTCTTCAACAGCTTTTAAATGATTATTTTCTACATTTTTAAATAAATTAGCAGATTCTTTTTCTGCAGCTGACTTTTAAGCCTTTAACTAATCATAACGTGCAGCCCAAGCAGCTATTTCATTATTCATTTATTTTTCAATTTCTAATTTTTCCTTTTCAACTTTTCTTTTCTCTTCTTATACTTTAAAATCAGTTTTCTAATCAAGATCCTATAAATCATTATGTAATTTTTTCATTTCAGCGATATATGTTTCAATTTCATTTCTAGAAACTAATAAAACATCAGCTAAATTTTCATCAACAACTCCAGCTTTAGGATTAATTTTATCAATATCATCCATCTATTCTTTAGCTTCAGCTCCTGTTTTAGAAGCATATATCTAACCATCATTAGAAATTTCAGAGACTTAATATATAAATAGAACACCATCAGTTCCAGTTGAAAATACATATCTACCATCTGGACTACATTTAATTCTAGTAATTTCTCCTTAATGAACAGGCATAGTTTCAAAAGCCATTTGATTAAATATATAGGAATATATTTTTATTTATCCATTTTCTGTACCTCCTATAATTCCAAATTGATTATATAATGATTAAATGTAAGCTAATTATGTTAATTTTTATTAACCAAGATCATGAAAATGATGATCTTTACCAGTACTTATTCCATTCTAAACAATTCTTTATTCTCTAACTATATATTTAGTATCAATTTTATCTTGCTCTGTTTTATCTTTAATACTTTCAGTTCCTGCAGCTATTAACATACCAATAGGTGGATCATAAATTAATGATGTATATTTATTTGTATTATAAACATAATCTTTTCTTGACCAATCATTGGGATTCCATTCAAATATACTACCATCTAATCCACAACTAGCCAAAAATGTATCTTTGATTCCCCATATTAAATCAGTTATTTAATTACTATGACCTTTTAATGTGTGCATGAATTCCATTGTATAAGCATCATAAATATTAATATAATAATGATTGCTTTTAGCTCTTGGATATGCAACTGCTAACATATGACCTCCTAAACTAAATTTCACTTAAGTGCAACATTTTACAGCCATTTCTTTATAAGCACGTAATTCACTATGCAAAACATGGAAAATACGTAATTTATCTTAAAATCCTGCTGCCAAATAATAACCAGTTGGATGAAAACCTACTGAACATAAAGGTGAAATATCTTAAGTTGTACTCTAATTCTCTTTTGTTCCTAAACCTTATTAATTACCATCATCTCCTAAATAAAATTTACGAGCTAATTCACATCTAGGATATGCATAATTCCATATTCTAATTGTACTATCATATTTGCTTGCTGTAACTATTAAAGGCCTTTATAAACAAACATCTAAATGTGTAATTGGAGCATTATGAAATCCATTAAATAAAAAATCAAATTTAACTTCTCTTTTTAAGAATTTCTCATTATTTTTATAAGATTCCAATACTTCAGTTGAATTAGGTAATACTTAACCCATTTCT